CCAAGCCTGGCAGCACCGGAACGCCATCTGATCCAGTTAATAAAGATCCAAGGGGATCCGACAAAGAAGGAAAAGGTGAAAAAGGAGGAAAAGTCAGAGAAGAAATAGAAAAGGCACACGAATGAGGGTTTCTGAGGAAGTTTGGCTACAGTGATCGGACAATAAACGGAATTCGGCCAGCGCCCAAGGTCGTCTTTTTCAGAAGATAGGAGCCCTGGTGAAGGGTTTAGGGTTTAAGCGGATCTGATATTTTTTCACCAAGGATCAGGGAGGAGGGCGTTGAACGGAACAAGTCGGCATGGACAAAGGATGAACTCTTCCTAGAGGCAAAGATGCAATTAAGGTTGCTAAGGAGGTCGGTTATAGTGGTCCGGAAATAAACGAACTCCGGCCAGCGACCAAGCTCGGCTTTTCAGAAGATAGGAGCAAAAACGGAGGGTTGTAAGATTAAGGAGTTCAGATTTTTTCACTAAGGAACAGGGAGGAGGGCGATAATAATAATAATAATATAAAAAAAAAAAGGGAAATGGGAGAGAAAGTGGAGGTCAGAGGATTGATCTTTAAGCAAAATAGAAGTTATAGTTAAGGGTTTAGGGTTTAGAATTTGGATAGACTTAAGAGCGAGGGCTTAGGGTTTATGGCTTAGACAGAAACAAGGCAAAAGCCATTATAGAATTTTAGAGGATTCAAAAGGCATATAAGTGTTCCAGAATCTCTTGTATAATCATAGACACCTGACAGCTTCATAGCTGAGAGGAGCAGATCTGGGATCAGATAGATTGGCAGGCAGAGTTAGTGCAGGCTAGATTAGGCAGGGGTGAGAGGCGGTACATCCTTCCTCAGGGAAGTAATCAATGCTGCCTACTCGGGCCTCTCAGTCATAATGGGGAGGAGTGTGTGTGAGTCATTGATGTATTCCATATTGACTTGCCGGGGGAATAGGAACCGGACTGTCGCTCCCCAGAATGGTAGGAGCCAGAACCGCGAGGTTCTGTTAATTAAAAATAATAATAATAATAATAAAAAATTATCTGCTGAAATACAGGATGCTAATGTTCAGTCAAATTATTCTGCCTGAATTAGACATTCAATTGAATGAGGTATGCAAAGCTTCTCAAAACAAAATACAGACAGTGATAAGTTTTCAAAGTGTTGAAAATGCGCTTGTACATGAAAACTGTGCTTCCATTTGGTTAAAAAACCTCCAATAACCACTCAGCCACTCTCCCGAAGAATTCAGCATCCTATAGGGGAGAGAGAGAGAGAGAGAGAGAGAGAGAGAGTCCATCAACTTCTTGGCAAACATTCCATTTTTATTGCGGGCGTAGCCACAACAGGTCCCCTAGTTCAGAGTTATTTTCACTCATCAGGTTCCATTGGAAGTCGAATTCAGGTCTGCATTTCAACAGGTTGTAGGTGTACCAACTGAGCTACCACTGGGCCGTTTTCCTGTGGGTCTAAAAAAGTAGTCAGGATGTCTCTTTTTTCTGCCACTATTTTCGGTACCCGCCTCTGCTGAGCTTGGGGTCTGAAAGTATGCTACCCCTTGGGGATGCGTTCGGCCGTTCGGGCTGAACGCGGACTCGGAAAAAAATAAATAAATAATAATAATAATAATCAAAAACATCGAAAAAATCTGAAGAAAAGATATGTTCTGAAGAAAAATAAACTAAACAGGATTTGCCTGAGCATTACATCCAAATTCCTTGCCAAATTTGAAATAAAAATAAAAATACGAAAAACAAATACTAATAATAAAAATAACAAAAAAAAAAAAAGAATTAAATTTAGTGAGTTCGCGAGCACGTTTTCGGCACCGCCATCTTTGGCGATTTTTCATTTTTTTTTGGAATAGCTAAATGCCCGGAAAATTTACATATGTGTACTTACAGATGTGAGGATTGAGCCCTCAAGAAGGGGCCTTGCCATGATGTACATGTTCTGGGCTAAGGCCCCAGCAAGCCTCGTGCCCGCCCTAAGTGAAGGCGGGCCAGCAAATCAACAAGAGCCCTCTKTGCCAACATTTCRCGAAGTGGGGTCCATACAGTTGCAGCACGCCAGTTGGTTGGAGTGCACCAAGTCTCGGATTTCAGCAAATGCTGAAATGCCCAGGGCCTCTGAGTTAGTTAGGCCCTGGGCTCTCGAACGTGAGGCCGACAATGCATGCTGGGTAGAGAGGCCGAAAATGCCAAAGAGAAATTGGCCCACTATCTGAATCTGGCCGCAGGCCTTGATGAAAGAGGTGCAACTGCATTGCCCAGGGGCCCAACTCTATCGGGTAGGCTTCAGCCTCTGGGCCCCGGTCACAGGCTGAAGGGAGGCCGCCCACACGCTGCACTGGCATATAGGCAAGCAGGGCGAGTGGGCAGGGATCTTGGCCATTGCGGGCAATGCCGGCACGCTGCGCTAATGCGAGCTGCTGCTGCTGCTGCTGCTGCGCTGCGCTAAGAGAGGTGCAAGGCAGGCCAGCGCTAGGCGGTAGGGTGCTGCCTGCGCACCAGGGCACTGGCGCCCATAGCCGGGCCGCATGAGGGTGCAGTGAGGGTGAAGGGCGAAGGTGGTCTTCGGAGGTGAAGGGCGCGGTGTGGGTAACAAGGGAGAGTGTGGGGAAGAGGACATGTACCTGGTTGAGGTGGAGGTCGGCATTGGTGTTGACATCATCACTCGCTGGTAGTCAAGTTGTCTGGTTGCTTTCATAGCTGTAGTTGTAGGCTTAGTCTGTAGAGYAGATAGGGCKCCTGGCGCCATTCATAAGAGAGAGCTACATTGGGTWATGCTGTTGGTGTTGCCCTGTTGGGCATGGACATTGACTCACGATTCTTCTGTATCATTCTCAATTGGATGGTTACTCGGTTCCATTGTACTATCTGCTTTGGCTTGGACTACTTGGACTTCAGTGTGATTTTGCATTCTGGATTTCTGTGCTTCGTCCATATTCATGTTCCTTGCACAGAATGCAAAACACACTAAAAAAGTTTCAAAAAATAATAAAAATGTTTAGACCCCGAACTAAAGTGAAAACAAAAAGTAAAAAGTGAAAAAAGACGTGGGTAAGCACGTTTTGACACTGCCATCTGTGGCGATTGTTAGTTCTTATTCGGCTGAGCCAATTGACTTGAAAATTTATAGGCGTGTACCTCACGTCATAGAGAACTCACAAAAAAAAATTCAGAAAAAAAATAAAAAATTAGGCCCCGATATATTTTTTGGCGGGGGCCGAACGCCGTCGGGTTCGGACCCCGTACGGGACCCCAAACGCCCGTACGTACGGAGGTCTGCCCGGGGACCTCCGTACGTACGGGCTGGTAACCCTGGTTGAGACTTTATTTTACAATTTATTTAAAGGAAGTGGGCTCCATGGTTTGCATTCTTTAACTTGGAAAAGAAACCCTCCTTTCTCCACGTCTCTCTCTCTCTCTCTCTCTCTCTCTCTCTCTCTCTCTCTCTCTCTCTCTCTCTCTCTCTCTCTCTCTCTCCGTGCATTCTTAGTTCACACTTTTTTTCAGAATGATGTGCTTGATGTATATGTGCTTCCATTTTGTTGGTCAAAGAGTTTGCTCCAGGGATAAAACGTGTAGAGACAACTGTGGTTGACAAGGAACAAAAGGAAAACAGTAGGGAGAAAGAAGGAAAAGGAGCAGCAGAAACAGTAGTACAGATCTCGTAGTTCTTTGTCCTATGGGGTTATCGTGCCTCTGCTAGGATTCATAACGTCAAGATATTCTCTCTTTGTTTGAATTGGTTTGCAACTTTGCACAGGTGAAAATCCAGCTTGCGACACTGGATTTCTTCCTTAATAGGCCAGTCATTGCCGCACTGATGGAATTTGGGGGGCACTTAGGTGGGACCCAGAACGAACCTGTGAAGGATGAGCTTGTTACAGCGACAATGCAGCAAACGACATATGATCAGGAAACAGAGAAAACAAAACCAGAGACAGAGTGCATCAGAGGGCTTTTGGGTCGAGGGAAGGCACGGGTTGTGTTCAGACTTTTTATGGCCATGGATTCTGCAAGGATACATCTCAACCTTGAAGACGGGTCAGAGCTAGCATTGTTCTCACAAGACCGGCTGCAAACAGACATAAAGGTACTTTGAATTCTTTTCTTTCTTTCTTTTTTTCGTTCTTTTTTAAGAAAGGAGGACAACTGTCCTATGTCCGGGACCTGCCCACACAGGGCAGAGGCCCCGGACATTGGTTTGCAGAGGTCAAGTGTTGCAATAATGTGCCAAGGGTTACAACGATCAAGATATACAGTAAACTTCTCGCAGGGTTTCCCGCGTTTAAGTGCATCTGACAGGGTCTCTGATGCAGACACTGAGAGGCATCACAGGGAAAGACAAGGAAACAGATGACAATCTCCACAGTATTGCAGCTGAGGGTTTAGGGGTTAGGGTGTAGACAGAAGCAACAAAAGGAATATGTAAAAAGAGGAAAGAGGAGATGAGAAAGGAAGAGGAGGAAAAAGGACCAATAATGTGCCAAGGCCCTGACTTCACAGTGATTGTATTTCTATTTTGATTTGTTGCTTTCTCAGGTCCTGCATTATGTTGTGGTCCTCTTGATTTGTCTTTCCCTCGAGACCTATGTTACCAGAGTCACCTGGCCCGGGTCGGGTGACCGGGCGAACTTGCACGGGGGGTACCCGGGTGACACCAAAAACGGGTCAAGTTTTTTCTCTTGTAATGACCCGCCAAAGCACAGACTGAGAACACTGCTGATTACTGGGATTTGCCGCTAGAATGTATGCCTTGCCGAGATTCCCGCATTCTGCTGCGTTTTCTAAGTCTGTGTGTGCGCGTGCCTGCTGGTCTGCGTGCCTGTCTGAGTGCTTGTCGGCCTGAGTGTGTGTGTGACCTGCAAGGGTACTCGTTCGTTTGGAGGCCCTGCAGGGCCGGTACTTACCTGTGGCCGTGACTTTGAGGGTTACAGCGGGAAAAACACGTGGCAGGGGTAGGCCTGTGACACTTGGTAGCAGGTAGGTCGGTACTCGAGGCTGTGCAGAAGAGGACAAAAAGTCCCAGTAGCGTCAGGCGAGAGGTAGGCCGGTACCAGTTCAACTAGGCTAGAGGTAGGCGGGTACTAGAGTCTAGGGCCTGTACGTTGGGTGACAAGTATTGAGCGGGCAGCAGGACTCAGAGCGCTGCCTGGGAGTCAGAGCGCTGCCTGGGAGGATGAAGAGCAGCTGGGCGCTCAGCCTGGCTATGGCAAGCAGCCCAGCCCGAGGACGAAGAGGTAGGGGCCGAAGGAGGAGAGTGGCGAGGTATCTACCTGGCTATGGTGGACACCATCTTCATCACCTTAATAGGCACTGCATCTGGAAGGCCCCAGTTAGGGTAGTGCTGCACCAAGGAAGCTCGAAGCAGAGTCGGGCATGGTGGCCTGATAAGCGGAGACCTTAGCTGCTTTGTGTTGTCCTTTGCACTGGAGGGCAGAGCCCTTAGTAGTCCGCCATAGCCTTGGCATGTAAGAGGAGGAACAATGGGGAAGCTATGGCTATGGTGGACCTTTGTTGTGCTGGCAGTAAGAGGGAACTTCGGATATTGATTCTGGTTCATCCACTCATTGTTAAAATTATTATTTGGAAGAAGAATAAGATTGGTGAAGATAAGGAGGAGGAGGAAGGTGGAGAGAAGGGGGATTTGTCATTGGTCTTGCAAGATTGGTGAAGATAAGGAGGAGGAGGAAGGTGGAGAGAAGGGGGATTTGTCATTGGTCTTGCTGGTGTACGTCTTCTTCTTCTTCTTCTTCTTCTTCTTCTTCTTCTTCCTCTCTTCTTCCTTGGTCTCTATCTCTTTGCAAGTGCTTTCGTTTCTTTCGCAATTGGGTGGCATTGTCTTTCCTTGTGAATTTGCACTTTGGAAATGACCAGGATCGTATCACTCTGTTTATTTTGGTAGTGGTGCAATTTTGCGCCCACTGAGATGTGCCTAAATCCGGCCTTATCTTTGAGTTTGGTGATATCACCAAAGGTTGTCTATGGGGTATAAGCGGGGTTCAAAAGGGCACGGAGGTGCAAGGAAGATGAGCATTAGCGAACTTCAGCAATCAAACAGCATCATACATATGAGCCCAGATTGTCTTGACCTCGAACCACAGCAGACTGGCATCACGAGATACGCCAAATAAGAACACACCAAGAGTTCAAAATTGACAATG